CTGTATTTACTTTTGTTTGTTTTTGCCCGTTCGTACTCTCTAATGCAATACTCAAATGTTGGGTGTGGTTGTATAACTATGTCGTTTTCAACAATAAATAATAAACGGCAACAGTAATAAACTTATGGTTAGAATAATAAATTAGTATTGAATGTGTTTATAATTATTAATTTCGTTTTATTTGATTGTGAGCGTTCAGTCTCTCTATTTTCATGTTTGAAGATCTAGCATGGCTGGATCGGTTATAATTCAGTTTTAACAATATTTATTTAATAAATGGTAACAGTAATACATTTTTGTTTAGCGTATATATATATATATATATATATATATATATATATATATATATATATATATATAATGTCAACAATGGGTTGCAACAAACAATAATGGCGTCAAATGCTAGATAAGTCCATTAAGTGTAGCGTATGTTTTCCGCTTGAGAAGTTGATTTGATCTTCTGCTGGATGGCGAGATCTGGAGCCGACCTACGAGATCTTTATCGCAATTCTCTTGTTTAGGAATTTTTCAAATGGTAATTGAAGTGTAAGGCAGAAATTGTCATGTTATGATATAACATAATATTACATAACCATTAACAATATCGCGAGAAAGCGTGTGCTGTTTTAGAACCATTAGTTTAACTAATAGGCCAAGAACAATAGTTCGGTGCAGTGACGCAACCAAGAGGGTGCATATGTCTGCGCCCCCAAGATACATATTCAAAATTATAGTTTTTAGTAATTTCTGTACTAACTAAAGTCATTAAGTATAGCAATTGTTTACCCTGTTACAAAATTCCTGTCCCTATTCTGTCAGCCAACAAATTAAAACACAGTTTACTATATTCAAATTAAGAAACAGAAAAATACTGAATACTCAGCCTGATCGCACTCCCCCCCGTGTATCTCAAACATGTTTTAACATGTCTTTTGTCGTTAAATAAATACATAGATTTAATTAATATGCAATGGGGAAAGACCTAGACCATAAAATACCATTTCATGAACGTCATAACAAAAAACACCGTTAAGATTAAGGTAAACAAAATTACTGATTAAAAATGTCCATGCGTGTTAAATGTGTCCAGTCCATACAGGAATCATATCCAGAATGACGGGCCTTCCGCACTTACAGAGTACGCCAATTCGCGCAGGCCATCCCGCGGGCACCTGGACTGCGGCTGGAAATTCCCATTCAGGTCGAAGCACTGGGTGGCCACCCAGATTCCTCCGAACTTGAAAAATATCACTTCCTTGTACACCTCATCCAAGTCTTTATCACGCACTGTCTCACTGTAATCATAAGATTCACAATATCGTTTCATTCTTAGATAATCACAAGCACCATTATTATTGACATGACATAGTCTGAGTGTCAACTAGTATTTTCAATACAATTGATATTATTTCGAACGTTTAGATTTAGATTTATTCAGTCAAAAAAACAGTAAAAACTGTATGTGACGTAGGGGGGATTATCTGCGTACGTTTTCTTGATTTCCAGAATCCCTTCCCGTCATTTTAACTATAAATAGTCGAAAGATAAGTAAAAGTTTAACATAAATAAACAAAAATAAATTTTAAATATAAAATTTAAAAATATATTTTAAAAATAAATTTTAAAAATCGTAAGATTAGCAATATCTGAAAAATTGTCATTTTTGTTTCTGAGAACGTAAGTCAGATAATAAATTCAACACGTATACAACTTGTGGTGCTACAGAATGGAGGAGAATTTCTCGTACTAGTTTCTTAATCTTATAGTTTGGGCAATCATTTTGGTTTTGCACCGTCTTATTCCCAGATGTTTACTATCGGCGCCTAAAATACGTTTTTCTTTCAATTTGTTGATCCCAAAATTGTGGAATTGAAACATGAGTGCACGAATATCACATAGGAGGGAAAATTGGTCGCGTAGGCAAATTTTCATTTGAAAAGGTTGAGCTGATTTTGAGAAAACGTTTTTGGGGGTTTATGAAAATTCGAAACCTTGAGCTCATTTTTACGGAAACCTTTTCAGTTTTCGAGAAACTTCACACGAAATCATTTGAAGTACTTGAAATGATTTCTTGTGAAGTGTCTCGAAAGTTCAAAAGCTATTTGAACTCACAAAAGCAATAATATATATAAAGACCCGTACTAATGTAAAAATGAACGTCCTGAGAATGATTTCCAAAAAAGTATCATTTGGGTAATTTTCGAAAAATCCAAAGAATACATGAAAATAGCGTTTATGTGATGTCATTCAGTGTATTAGACCTATCGAAAACAAAAAGTTTAAAAAATTGGAAAAGATTTTAAGAAAATCGTGTTTTTAAAATTGCGAACATTTCATTCAAAATAACATCAGAACGATTAGTATTTTCCAAAAAATTACATGCCGTAATAAAATAATTAATTTGAGAAAAAATTTCTTTAACCAATCTATATTCAACAATGGGGTCAAAAAATGTTTTTACTTTTCTAATTTTTGAAATTTTAGAATTAAGAGTGCAAATCTACGCCAAATTTATACGTATGTTTCCCTCTATTCTTACAGGTTATTGTAAGAAAAGTATTGGAGCCATTTTTGAGAAAATGTTTCAAAGGCTTGGTACAAAGTACACTCAAAATCCAAAGAATTCTTTTCAAAATTGAAGGATTTTGAGTAGAACTAAATCGCTAGTGAAATATTAATTTTGAAAAATCTTTCGAATAATCCAGGCAATAATGATGTTCACAGAAACACGGACGAACAGACTGACTGACCGACGTTTTGAAAAAAACACATTTTCGGTATCAGGGGACCCCAAAACGTATATTTCCGTGAAAATATCTCGAAATCGATTTTCCTCAGCAATATATGACACGTATGGAATAGAAGTAAGCCTCGCCGTAGGGAATGGATAGATGGAATTCCTCTTCCTCTTTAATAATTTACTGTAAAAACTACTCGGGCAACGACAGATACTTCAGCTAGTTAAAATATAACAACGAGTATCAATATTCACGAACTACCTTTTGTCAATTATTAATTCTTCAGAATCTTATGATGTCAAACTGTTTCTTTGACAAGCCTTTCAGCTTTTCCTTTTGAAGATTTTCACTCACTTTTCGTAAGGCGGTCGCATTTTCTGGATGACCTCGCTGTTCTCCTTCTCGCAGATGGTGACGCCGAGAAAGTTAGTGTCCCACGCGAGGTAGTTGGTGTCGACAGCGAAGCTGATGGCGTTGTCCTCGAAGGCAGTCCAGTTGGCGCGCATCAACAGCGCGGAGCCGAACCACGACAGCAGACAGCACGCCAGCCAAAACAGCCTGCACACACGCCATCACATGCATCGCTCCAATTGATTGATGAATTAGTGGCTCCGGGCGCGCCAACAGCTCAGGTTCCTGTGAGTGTAGTGCATGATTTTCGTGAACTTTCGCCGCTGGATGGTGAGATCCGGCGTCAATCTTTGTAGGCTTGCAGGAATTATCCCAAGGAAGAGGAAGGAAATATCGCGCGCGGTCCGGGGCCCCTTTGTTACGATACTGCTCCGGGATTCGCCTGATGTTGATCGGAGAAATCTAAGAAAACTACGCGATAAGTGCAGCCGGCCACTAGAATTCTCCTCTAAGCAGTGGTGGCTGAATTCGACCTAGGAAATCCTGCCACAATCGGGATTCGAACCTTAGGACCTCCCGGTCAGAGGCCCATTGTTTCAATCAACTTCTACTTACTTCATTTTGAAATTAAAAGTTGTCATTCAGTTGGTTCTGCTTCTCGCCCTTCATAAGGACGAGAAAGTAAACCCGAGTGTAATTTGTGCTTTTGAAATTAATGCAATTTATAAGAAAAACATTTTGTCAAAAACCGCTCAAAATTTCTTCACGTATAGAACAAAGAATACTTAAAAGCACTTTCTGAATTTTCGGAAATTGCAAATTTATAAACAATGAGAGAAAGTATGCGGTTTTATAGCACCACTAATTTTGGTTGAGAGAGAGACGGTACGCACAATGGCAACAAAAGGAATTTTAGTACCATTTTAGAAAGCCCTGAACCTCAAGATATTGAATGTGATGCCCAGTGATATTGGTAAGTTCTCGTTAAATTCTTGTGGTAATATAACGAAAATGGTATTTTCCTAATTTTAATCGAGATTTCATTTTGTAGTCATTGTACTATAATTTTTTTGAGGGGAGGTATGTTTTGCAAACAGTAAATAATGTGGAACCTCTTTAACTTTTCTCCAGCCACATGCCACACATATGCAATATTCGACGTACATCCTTCCTTGCGCCGGAAATACCGAAGGTCCGAAAGTTTGGTTTACTGTGTTCCAACTTTCCTAGCCATTTTTCAACCATATTGATTCTTGTGGCTTGGATAGTTTGAGCATAAAGTCATTTTTTAAATGTCTGAGTAATAATAACACTTACTTTAGTAATAACGCTAAAAGGAAGAAATATTTTAGTATGCTTTCAATTCCCACTAGTATTCATTACAAAGCTTTTCTGTTTATGATTGGATTTCGTGACAGATAAGTATCGGACGGTTTCCTCCGAACATGCAGCCTCGCTGCCAACGCTACACAAACAACTGGGCTTCTCGAATTGCCTTCCTGTATGCCATTTTCACTGAAGCCTGTTACAGAGTACCTAACGTAATAGACATTAAAATGTCGATAACCCGGCTTACTTGGAAACGTATCACTTCCGGATTATCAGATAGTCCGGATTTTCGAAACTAACCAATAAAACGGCCGTTAACCATCGTCCACTTAAACTAGTGGTGCTCCAACACCACGTACTTTCGCAGATTCTTTCAAATAAATAGGTCATTAGTGCGACCTATATTAGAATATGGCGCGGTATGTTGGGACCCATACAGAATTTTGCAACAA